GAGAATCACCATAACCTTGTTAGAGATATTGCACAGAGAAGAGGATGTGTTCCTCTCTGGGTTCACTTTGGCAGAGTCCCATTTGGTGCAATCTATCATGGTACAAGATTAGGGGACTTATGTGAGTGCCCAATCCATCTATATGATGAATAAGCAAGGACACCTTCCCGAATCAGGACAGGGTAGAAGTTGAAGGCAATGAAATACTATTGCCAGAGAAGAAAGTCATAACCGCTATTCTTTTGGGCTAGGGTACAAGCCAAATGCAGAGGATTGGAAGAGAAAGTGGGATGAATTGAATGAGAGAATTAAAAAAAAGACAGCGATGAAGCAATTTGAGTTGGTCCACAAGCTGATCATGGGAACCCTAAACGGACGCTTTGTTCGCTAAGGAGAAGACTTCCATTTCTGTGGATTTCCAGAGCCGTAGGTTGACCAGGAAACAAAGAAAAGATACCCTAGGTTTGAGATCTTCTTCAATCACCAGTTATCAGACTACGAGGAGGTGAGGATAAATCCAAGCATTGATATAGGGCAAGGTAGGAATGCCAGCTCAGATAGCGATGAAAAGGAGTTGTTGGGAAGGCATTAGCTGACCTACTAACAGATTCCAACACCAGGGCTAAGCCTGTTAACTTGGGGGATAGTGTTACTATCTCCATGATCAGGGATGAACCAGCTACAAATTACTCCAGTCTCATTATGGACAAAGCCGAGGCTCCACACCTAGTTTGGCAATTCGAGAAGGGCGCCATTGACAGTTTTGAATCAGATGATGAACTTGAATCTGATTCCACCGAGTCTGTTGAGTCGGAATCAGATTCGAGTCCGTTTGAGGAGTCTAAGTCTGGCACTTCCGGGGATGGTAACCCGGGTGCCAAGGTTCTATCTAGGTCCTCCTTTGCAAAATTTTTTTTTTGAGTCGATTATAACTAAAGAGCCAGAACTTTTGAATAAGAATGCTGCAGATTCTGTTTACTTCTCTGTTCCATTAATTTATTGTATTCACCAAGATTTTCAAAATTTTAATGAAAACGAAAAGGAAGAAATTCCTCGAGCTCTGAAAAACTTGATTGACCGAGAGGAGGAGAGGCATGCTAAGCCCTACATAGATGAAATGGAGTCAGATGGATAAAAGTTGGATAAATCAGCATAGGTTGCACCCAAAATACATACAAGGGGTTAAGGACTTTATTAAATTTGCATGTAAAAATAAGCCATTGTTGAATGAAGTCACATGCCTATGTAAACAGTGTCATAATTCAGATTGGTGGAGAAAGGTCTGTTAGAGGAACATTTAATGATCAACAGGTTTCTTCTAAGTTACACCAGTTGGATTTTTCATGGAGAGAATTTGTCGTTGCTTGTGATACACGATGTGAATGTCGGGCAAACTGATTCGAATGATGGTGATGAAACTTATGAAATGCTATACGAAGGATTTAGACTTCCTCCACCAAGCTTTATTCATTAGGCTGCAAGTTCTGGTATTAAACAAGGTCCAGATGAAAAAACTGAAAAATTCTTCAATTTATTGAAAGTGGCCAAAAGAGAGTTGTATCCTGAGTGTCAAAAGTTTTCAACGCTTTCATTTATTGTTCGGTTATTGCACATCAAGTGCCTTAATGGATGGAGTGACAAGTCTTTCACGATGTTGCTCGAGCTTTTAAAGGATTTGTTCCCAAAGGGTGAAACTTTGCCAAAATCATTTTATGCAACTAGGAAACTCCTTAGGGACTTGGGCCTCGATTATCATAAGGTACATGCATGCCCAAGAGATTGTTCACTATATTGGAAGAAAATAGCTGGTATGGATAATTGCATAGTGTCATATGCCTAGATACAAACAGTTTGAGGGGGAGGAGAATGATGTTAAGAAGAAGCAACAAAGAATTCCACAGAAGATTGTTAGATAGTTTCCTTTGATTCCAAGGATTCAAAGATTGTTTATGTCATCCAAAAAATCTTCTTTAATGAGATGGCATGCAGAGGGCCGAATTGATGATGGCAAAATGAGATATGCCATTGACTCTCCTATCTGTAAATTTTTTGATAATTTGTATCCCAAGTTTACAAGTGAGCCTCGCAATGTCAGAGTGGGTTTAGCAGCAGATGGATTCAATCCATTCGAGGCAATGAATGTCTCTCATAGCAGTTGGCCAGTTATTATGATGCCATATAATTTGCCACCATGGTTGTGCATAAAGTAGCCTCATATGATGATGACATTGCTCATCGATGGTCCTTCTTCACCTGGAAATAACATTGATGTCTACTTATGCCTTGTAGTGGATGAATTGAAAGAATTGTGGGAAAATAGTGTTGACACGTATGATGCGGAAATTAATCAGATGTTCTAAATGCATGTTGTGTTATTATGGACTATAAATGATTTTCCTACCTATGAAATTTTGTTTGGATGGAGCATGAAAGGTGCTTTAGCTTGTCCTTGTTGTAACACACATACTCATTCTCGATATTTAAAGAACTTCAGGAAATTTTATTACATGGGGCATCGTCACTGGTTGAATGTGGGTCACAAATTTCAGAAAGTTTGTGCGTCTTTTGATGGCACTCGTGAATTCAAACCATGTCCAACTCGGTTATCAGGGGCCAATGTGCTACGACAACTAGGGCCTAAGTTCAAATTGAATTCTAGGCGTCAACAATCTAGCAAACGGAATAGAAAGGGGAAAGAAAATGAGGAAAATAAGGACTTGGGTCATAATTGGAAGAAGAAGAGTATTTTATTTAAGTTATCATATAGGGAGCATAATTTGATTCACCACAATCTTGATGTGATGCACATTGAAAAGAACGTGTGTGATAATGTATTGTGGACGATATTAAATGTTGATGGAAAAGGGAAGGACAATTTAAATACTCGTTGAGATTTGCAAGATATAGGAATTCGGAAGGCACTACATCCTCAGAAAAGGGGGGAACAAGTATTATTTGCCTCCTGCATGTTTTGCCATGAACAATAGAGAGAAAAGTCTATTTTGTACACTTTTGAAGAATATCAAAGTTCCAGATGGTTGCGCATCCAATATCTCTCATCGGGTTAACCTCAAACAGCGTAGCATATCTAGACTGAAAAGTCATGATAACCATATACTCATGCAACAAATACTTCCAATAGCAGTGAGAAATTTGTTATTGAAGAAAGTAGTTGAACCATTAATTGAATTAAGCAATTTCTTTAGGCAATTGTGCATTAAAACCCTTGAGGTGGATGGTCTAAATCATCTTCAATCCCAAATTGCTCTTACACTTTGCCATCTTGAGAGAATTTTTCCTCCATCATTTTGCGATATAATGGAGCATTTACCCATTCACCTAGTAGAGGAAGCGAAGATTGCCGGTCTAGTGCAATATTGATGGATGTACTTTGTAGAAAGGTGTGTAATTCTACTCCAATGTCCATTTTGTATATATTTACTTGGAAGTCATGTATGCATCTTTTTGTTTATAGGTACCTTATGATGCTTAAGTCATACATGCGCAATCGAAGTCATCCTGAAGGTTCAATTGCATAGGGATACTTAGTCGAAGAATGTATGACATTTTGCTCAAGGTACTTGCATGATGTTGAGTCGAAATTGCATCGACCATTAAGGAATTATGATGTTAGCGACGATCCTGAGATATTAATGGGGTGGGCTTTAGGAAAAGGAAAAGGGTTTGTGCTTGATAACACAACATGGGTATAGGCTCATCAGTATGTGTTATTTAACATTGTTGCGGTTGTCCCATATTGAGAGTAAGATAGACGCAACCTTTGTCTCATTGTGAATGTATTTATACCAACTATAATTATCTTGCATTTTACAAGTAGTTTAATTGTGTAGAGAACATCATGAATTTATTAAGCGATCACATCGTTGTCTCAGAGATTATGATGTGGATCATCGTCACAATGATGAGTTTCCCAAATGGTTCAATTCTCATGTAAGTGCATGTCAAGCACAACAAGTCTTTCATATTTTTGTAATCCATGTGTTTCTATATATTTTTTAAGTTGTAAATTGATGTTTAATATTGATAACTTTCTTTTAAAAATAGGTTGCAGAGCTGTTAGCTACTGAAAATGTAGCATTGTCAAATGAGATTAAAATTTTGGCTTTGGGACCCAGCCAAAAGGCCACCAAATTTAATGGGTATATAATCAATGGTACTAGGTATCATACTAGGAGTCATGAGTTGAGAAGAAAAACTTAGAATAGTGGGGTTATGGTGAAGGCAAAGACTTCTAGCTATGCAAGTGCGAAAGACATTAATCTAGTGCAAGGTGATGTAGCATACTATGGATATGTGACAGATATTATTGAATTGTATTACTCACATGACCATAGCTATGTGTTATTCATGTGCAACTAGATTGAAAACAATAAGAAACTCAAGCGGGATGATTTTGGTTTTACACTTGTTAATTTCAATCACTTTTTATATGCGAAGAAACAAGACAGTGATGAGCCATTCATCCTAACATCTAAAGCACAACAAGTCTTTTATGTTAATGATTCTGTTGATGAAGATTGGAATGTTGTACTCAAGATGAAACCTAGAGACTTGTATGAGGTGTGTGGAGAACAACCAACTATTGATGAAGGACTACATCACAACGAAGTGGAAGGATTTGGTGATAAAGAGTTAGATGTAGCTTCCTTCACTTGTGAGGAGGACATGGATTGGGTTAGGCAAGGTATTGATGGAACAACTGTTGACGAAACTATTGGACCTCTTGAAGCATCGACAGAGGCACAATTTGAAGATGACGAAGAAACGATATGATATTGTAATTGGTTGCATATTCACTTTTACATTTGTGTTTTTTGTATGGATATTCATGTTAATAAAATCTTTGTTTTTATACCTTTGTAGCTTTCTTTAAATGGCCATTTTTACCTTTCATGTACTCTTATTCTATTTTGAATGCAGTTTCTTTATAGATTATCATGTCCTTACTTTTATATTTATAGTTTCTTTATAGATTATCTATGAGTTCTAGCTCCGAGAGTTCTTTTAGTGAGAGTGAGCAATCAAGCTCTAATAGTTCTAATTCAGATGAGACTCATGCCACACTTAAGACGAGAGTAATACCTGATCCACCGGCATCATGGCATCCACCAGGCAGTCTTCCTACCACATCACGTAGCGGTAGTACATCACATGGCTCAGTTTCATCTGGTACGTATAAGCTTTTGGCTTTTTATTTATTTATTTATTGTGTATCCTTTACATCACATAGCAGTAGTACATCACATGGCTCAAAATATTGCTTTTGCCTAGGACATTTAAAGTGTTTTTAATGTATTAATTTACCATATCTAACATTATGTCAAATTCTAACATACGATCTCAGTAACAAAGAATACTTCAAAGAAAAGGAAGTGCAGTAGCATCACAACATGTCATAATTTATGAGGTCAACAAGTTAAAGAAAAACTAATGCTTCAAAAAAAAATTATAGGTCCTAGCTCAAGCCACACAAAAGCAGACAAGGGGTCCCACATATGTGCATGGTCAATGGGGTACTAGTGACGATGGCGTTTTAAAACTTGTTTCAAATTAGTTGAATCAAGTAGTTGAAGGATACACACCCCTTGCTTCACATTTGGGCATTTTGGCACGAGATGGGAGTCTTGCACCACTCACTTTTACGACTTGGCATTATGTCCCAAAACAAAACAAAGATAACATATGGAGGGAGATAAAGGTATATACGGATATTTAATATGAAATAAGTTGAAAAGGTGCAGTGTTAGTTACAATTGTATTCCATATGAAATGCATATTACAAGTGTAGTTGACATTGCATATTACAAGTGTGTATAATTGCAATGCAGGCTTACACGGATGCATATGAATCCATGAAGAAAACAATAATGGCTTCATTTGGGAAGAAATTGAGAGATTGGAAAAGTCGAGTGAAAATAATGGGATACAAACCCTTCAAGAATGATGCAGAAAGGATGGCTCATCGACCAGATAGAGTACATGAGGATTAGTGGCGGGCTTTGGTCTACTATTGGGGCACTCAGAGTGCATCGATAAAATTTTATTTATGTGAAAAAATGTTTATACATCTTAAATAAATTTTATATTTGACAGAAATTAAGCAAGAAGAATAGAAAAATCCAGAAGAATAAGACATTACATCATAGAACAGGCCGAAAGCCTTTCTCAGTAGTTCGACTGGAGGTATAATTATTCTCTCACATCAATTAAAAATCTTTTATCAATATATGACTTCATTTTGAGTTGTGTGAAATCAAGACTCAAAGTTTGCTGGGCTTCCTATGGTTAACCTGAAACTGTTTGTTTATTTAAAACCACGGTTAGTTTATTTAATCAAATCTTATTGATTGGGACATGATGATGTAGATGAAGTTTAACCCTCTTAATCTTCTTTTTCTTTTGTGTTTGTACTTATGAACAAGAAGAAATATGAAGATAAATAAATAAGAAATTGGAGAAGAAACCTATGGTCTTTACCAGAAATTGGAGATATCTGCATTTTTTGAAAGGGAAGAGGAAGAGGAAGAGGAAGAATGGGATTATAGAGATATCTGTATTGAGTACATTTTTACTCCAAGCCCAATGGGTCATTTTGAGTGGATGTGTAATTAGTATGGAGTATATTTGTGGTGGGTATAGCTTTTTTGAGTATTGTTAGTTCCAGTAGTTTTATACTGTGAAGACTCACTGAATAAATGTGGGTGGGAACTAGGGTTCTGACTTTGACAGGTTAGATTTTAAGATTTGGGACCTTCGGTTTCCCTTCTACCATTGGCTTCTGGTGTAGAGGATATGAACTGCTTACTGGATATATATGTAAGAGTTTGTGAATATATGTATATTCTGTTTGATTCTGAATTGGCTTTTGGCTTTACTGTTTCTATTTCTGTTTCTGCTTCTGCTTCTGCTTTTGCTAGTGTGGAATTGTTTCCCTTTTTTCGTTTGTTTTGGTTGGTGAATTTTTGGGTGGAGGAGGATAGTTTTCAATCTCATTCAGTCCAGTTTTAGGTAGGGGTGTAAATGTTTCAGTTTGTTTGGTTTTTATGAAAAATTTGGCACCAAACCAATTTTCTCGGTTTACAAATAGCAAATTAGCAAGAACTGAAATAAACCAGTATAATAATTAGTACTCAATTTTCTTTTTCCATTTTTCTTGATCTATTTCACTTTGTCACAATTAGATGTTTCATGAAGAATTTTTTTTGCTCTATTTTGCTTAGAGCAAAAGGTTTATTTGTTGTTTTGGTATTTACTGGTCAATTGTTTTAAATTCTAGATAGTGATATAAAGGTTTTAATCATCATACTTCTATTTTGCAAGTCATAAGACCATTTGAGTGAATGTTTTATTTTTAAAGTCTCATGTGACCATTGGAGGCCAAATTAGTTACTTCATTTAATTTTCCTTCATTGTACAACATAATAGTTCTTGATTAGATTTTGAGAAAGCACTGATATTGCACTTTTGTTATGGAAAGAGAGAAACCAATCAATTACCCCTAGTCTTCAGACAGCAGCTAATAAGTATTGATGATATTTTTGGTCCACTATTACAGAAGCCATTCCACTACTTCCTCAAGGGAATGAGACAAGCATAATAGTTCACCTTTTTGTTTTTACTCCCATGTTTGATCAACTCTTATTTATCTTAAGATTTTGATTGTCTTTCATTTATAGGAGACAAAAAAGAAGAATGGGGTTCCTGCTAGTCGGCCACAGGTATGGATGGCCGCATACATGAAAGATGGGATGTCAAATAGTGATTCAGTTAATGAGGTTATGGTATGTGATACTACTTTATCTCTGGACTTTTAATATGATTTATATTTATATTGGAGGCTAATTATTGAATTCAAACCTGCAGACTCAAATGAATGAGTTAACAGAGCACATGGAGGGATCTTCCACTGATCTTGCAACATTAAATGAGCAAATCTTCACACAAGTTATGGACCTAGAGCGACCTGGTCGTGTTCGGACGTTTGGATTGGGACCGTCCCCCGCTGATGTTTTTGGAGGTGGATATAGGTGGTCATAAACGCAGAATCATATCTTCCAAACTCAAGTTTAGGAACAAGTTCAAGAGTAGCTTCAACAGTATCAAATGCAGTTCAAGTTAAAGATGAATGACATAATGGAGAAACAAATGCAAGCTATATGCATAGATTTTCAGTCATGAATTCAATTTTTGGAATCTCAATTGCAAGGTGCAGGCGTGCCTGTTGATCCAGTTGTTGCACCCTCAAACCCATTACATAGGCAGCAGGTATTTTAACTATTTTTACTAGTTATTACTTTTAATTTCCTAGAGTTAATATACAACTTAAGCCTCTTATTGAATAACAAGTTGTGGATTCACTTAGTAGTCATCCCACTGTTCAGCCAATGTCACATCAACAATAATCTCATGCATTTTCATCCCAAGAGGCGGGCAATTGTTTAATCAAAGCTTTTTTGACAAATACCATATCTTATTAATTACAATACTTGCTCTTATTAAATATAGGTTCACCTTTCAAAGAAAGAGAAGAAGGAGAATAAGAAGAAGAACTAACAAGGTAAAAGTACAAACATCACTAGTTTTTAATTTCTCACTTTTCTAAATCTATTAAAACATAGTGTGATTTGGTGTTGGAAATTATTGAATAATTGTAGAAATTTTCATATCAAAATTTTGCTTTACTGTTACGAAATCTATACTTTGGTTCACGGAAGAACGTCCCCTATTTGAAGAAGAGTAACTAAGAGCAGGAAAGAACTGCTATGGCCTATGAAATACAACTCAATTGCTTCATTTTTATGCTTCTTTTGAATGTCATAGGATATTTTGAATTCTAATACTTCTTGGTTACAAGGAAAAACAATTTGAATTAGTTCAGTTCAGGGATGGTGATTATTTACAAAGAACAAAGTTGATGTAATTGAATCCAACCTGATTGGAATGTGGAGGTGCAGCATAAGCAGATTAGATTATAGGGGATCGGAATGCAGCGAATCATACTATTATAATCCTATCCGGCTCCCATAGGGTAGAAGCTCCTAAAAATTTTACAAACTTTTCTTATTGATAGATATGACCTGGAATAGTGCAATTTTGATATTTGAAACTAGATCTACTAGAATAATGTGATGAGGACAACCCGATTGTCATGTGTGAGTTAAAAATCAAAATAGTTTTCCTCACATGCTTTCAGTGTTCAGAACCTAAGGTGAGTTTGTACAGTGGGTTAAGAACAGTAAGTAGTTGATAAATAAAAAAGGTTTGAAAAAAAAAAAAGAAAAAAAGAAGAAAGAAAAAAGAAAAGACGAATGCTTTTAAGAAATAAAGCAGAGCATGCCTAGGAAAAAAAATTCTGAAGTGACAATAGCAAATTGGACATGTTATTTCAAGAAACAAATCATTCTAGTTTCCTTCCCATACAGGACAAATGGAAAATGTAACCTTTGAATTATAATGTTTGATTTGATAATTAAACAATATGATTTGCGGCAGATTGTAAAAGTCAGTTTCAGGTCATATCTAAACCAGGTGATGTTTAAAGAATTGGAGATCATCTTCTATGGATTTTGATTTTTTTTATTTCTTTTTTCTTTATTTGTTTATTTATTTGGAGTAGCAGATTTATCATCAATAAATTGAAACATAAGCTATGGCCTTGGTGCCTTGTTTTAGATTATCTACACCAATTTTCTATCATTTGAAGAATACAAAAATGACCTATCATCCCCCTGTTTCTTCCAAAAGACAATTCTGCTTCAATGTTTCATTCATTGCTCACACATCCCAACCCTAATTTGAGGCCTTATGTAGATTATAGGTTTACTATGTTGCTTTGATGGTTTTTCTTGTACTAAACAAGCATGTAATGATTAGACTGAAGGGAGTTGTGTTAAGTGGTGTAATGTTCCTCAATCCAGATCTCTTGGTATAATTGTTTTGACTGTAAGTTCTGTTATGTGCTATATTTTGGAAAATTAAGGTTTTGTTGTCGTTCTTTGCTTTATCCTTATTATCTCGTTGTATTTTTATATTTCGAGTTAATAAATTTTTTATTTGTTACGCTGTAGGGTCCTTTGAAGGTTAAGAACGATACAAGGGTTGGGGGAGCTTGGGGTTCAAGAAACAATATTCTTTTTGTTTTCTTTTTGATGATTGTATATTCATGAATTTTTACAATCACAATTAGTTTATGCATGTTTGGTTGATGCAGCAAACCACTAATTCATAACTAGTTTTTTATCTGATACGGGATAGGTCATGATATGGTTCTAAAACCAGTTCTTATTTTTGTTGTTTTTTCCTTCTTATTTGATCTTTACTATTATTCAAGTTGAATGAGAATTAGTAGTATTCTTATTTGTTTGTTTTTTATATGGAATTAATTTGGTATACTTTTATTGTAATTGTCACAATTTAAATTTAAACAAGCAAAGAAATAAATTGCCACAATTTCAAATTAAAAAAAAAAAAATCTGCTATGGTGTTTTTTAAGCGCCATTAAAAATGTCAACATGACTTCATTTCTTACCGTTGAAGGTATTTTGAATTGGGAGACAATGTGGGTGTTTGGGAAGTGGGTTTTTTTGAGATTTTTATGTGGTTTGACTATTTTAGTAGGGTTTTTAGTTTGTGTGTTTGGGATGATGGGATTGATTTTTTAAGAATTATTGTATTGAAAAATGTGTTTGAAATAATAGTGGAATATAAATTGACCAAATTGCCCCTAATGATAATAGGAAATATTTGCTAATGTCCACGTGGCCACCATTGGCTCTGACCGCTTACACACAAATGCAGAATTTTGACGTGGCTATTCAATGCAATCTGTCCGACTTTTGGTGCGATTGTTTGAAATAAATTAAAAAAATCAATTAATTGGTAAGTTGTTGTTAGTTTGTCATATTAAAATTAATTAAAATTTTTGTTTAATTGAAAATTGTATCTATTTCTCTAAAAAATTAAAAACATTTGTTTGGAAACATTTATTTTCATTTTCACATATAAAAATTAATTACAATTTTGTTTGGTTTACTGAATTTGCGGGGAAAAAAAAATTAATTTTTTTTTTTAAACCCAAATAGCACCAAATTTTTTTTAAAAAAAATTTTATGAATGATCAACGGAAAATAATTTGCTCAATCTTCAATTCCAGAACAAATTTCCCACATTAATAATTCATCAAAGCAAATTTCCCAAAGCAGATTTATTTTTTTTTTTTCCAAATTAATAATTCATTACATGTAAATTACAAATTTTATTAAATCTAATGAATGCCAAATGTTGATGAATCCAAGTTTTTTAATTTACACAGAAAATCAAATTACGGCAAAAAAAAATTAGATGAAGACTGAAAAACAGTCTGTGCGAAGAAATTTTTTGTTTTGTTTTACTTGTTATTTAAATGGCAGAAATGTAAAAAAAAAAATGGTGAAGAAAATCTCAACAAATTGGTAAATGAAGGAAGACGAAAGAGAGGGAAAAAGGGTTGCTCAGCAATGTATTTTTTGTTGCACACGACCAGGTGAAGATCAGTAGCAAGATCGGTGACTGAACGACCAACGAAGAAAAAAAAATTGTCGATTACATACATCATCATCGGTGGAGAACAGTGAAGAAAAATTTCGTAGAAATGGTGTTTCGCAACCGTACATTTGTATGTCGTCGAAGATCGCCTACTTGGTCTTCCGTAACAGTGCCGCCGGAGTGAGCCGTAGGAGAGAGGTCTTCGACTCTACTACACAAGCGTCCAGGTGGAGCTTCGGTTAGAGATATGAAACAGATGAGAGATACATTTCATGTTTCCAAACAGGTATTGCAACGGAGGGTAAATACATCATTTTACCCACAAAATGCCCTACACCTGGACAGCGCTTGTTCACTCCGCTACAGTGCTCAATTTTGAAATTTTTTCCGTTGGTGAATAAAATATGTCCCAACCCAGGTTCCCAAACACCACCAATAGGGAATTAACGGTGTTTTAATAAATGTCATTACAAATGAATAATAATACCGTTGTAGGGTGTTGAGTTAGCAAAATGAATGGCATTTATGAAAACACCATGTAAAGGTCTACAGGTATGTTGACGTCACTAGTGACATCATGGTGGTGTAAGTAGGACATTTCGCGGCATTTTTAAAACGCCGCCTATACTAATATAACAACGTTTTCCAAACGTCATAAAGCTATAGCAATGGCCGTGTCATCGGCGTTTGATACTAAACGACACAAAAAAAAATTAACGACATTTTTAGTGCCTATAGCGGCGTTTTTAAAACGCCGCTAAAAGTAGATTTTCCAACAGTGTATATGTTAAGAGAAAAGACAAAAATGCAAAGGAATGGGCAATTAATTTTCATTTCAACAAAATTTAATAAAATTAAATTATGATTTTTAATATTTAATGTGAATTGAATCTACATCATTTTATTAATTTTTTATTTTCTTTCATTGCCTTTTGTATTTAAAAAATGAACCAAACTTAGTCCACCAAGTTGAGAAGCAAGACCAAGTTTTCTACATTATGAAAAGTTGTGTGTTTATCACACAACATTAATTAAAATTGTGTATTCAAACCTTGATTTTTTCAAAGAGTGAATTGAGAATCCGACTTTTACGAAATCGTGTACCTTATACATGATTTCAAGTTGTAACATTTTCACTTGAAATCGTATTTTTACTACACAACTTTAAAAAGAATGTAGGTCTGGGAAATATTATCAAAATTGCGTGGGTTTGGAAAATTTGTTATGAAATCACATGGGTTTGGTAAAAAAAAAACTATATTTTTGCTTCTTTTTTTTTGTCCCATTGTACTGTGATTTTTCCTTTTTATTATTTTTATGTTGTAGCAATGATAATATTAAGTGACTCACTTGAAATCACATGTTTAAAACATAACTTCATTTGAAATTGCATTTTCAACATATGATTTCAAGTGAAATTACATTTTCAACATGCAATTCACGACATCCCTTGACTTACTCCAGCGACTTTAAAGTACACTATTTGCAAAGCTAACTTGTTGCTTTTCAATTGT